AAGAAGAAGAAGAGCACTCATGATGGGGCTGCTTTGGAGTAGCTAGGAGCACGCAACCGAATTTATCCTGGCTTTATCATCTCAGCAGGACCGGGTCACAAGCAGGATATTAGTGGAATGTGGAGGAAAGGAAACCACTGGGCTTGTGGTGCGTGTGTGCATGTGTGCACGCATAAGTACGTGCGTGCACACAGAAAATCAGCTGTTTATAGTTGCGTTGACATATAACTTTCTGGGTCCTTCCTCAGTTTTTCTCCAGGCTGAAATCTGATACCCAGTCACTTAAATCTTTGACTTCAAACAGTTGCTAAAGGGCCTTTCCTCAAATTCCTCCTCTTTGCTCCCCCTACCCCCCACCACCATGCTTTTCTTTTTTGTTCTTCTGATCTCCCCCACCTTGGTCCCTGAATTCCCTGCTGGCTAGACGTGCAGAATTCATGGGGCGCCTGGGTGGCTCAGTTGCTAAGCATCGGCCTTCAGCTCAGGTCTTGATCCCAGGATCCTGGGATCCCTGCTCAGCGGGAGGCCTGCTTCTCCCTCTCCCACTCCCTCTGCTTGTGTTCCCTCTCTCACTGTGTATCTCTCTGTCAAATAAATAAAATCTTTAAAAAAAAGTAAATGAAATCTTTAAAAAAAACTTTAAAAAAATTAAAAATAAAAAAAGTGCAAAATTCACATTAATTTATTCATGCATTTGACAAATGCTTACTGAGCACCTGTTATGTTTTGGACAATCTTTCAGGCTCAGGGGCTACATCTGCAAACAAGACGCATGAACCTCCATCCTTAAGGGTGTGGTGACAGTGTGATGAAGGGGACGGGTAAGGGCGAGAGTGCCAGAGGTGAGATCAGTAGATCTGTCCTTGCTGCCCTGAGTGTCCCCACGGACCAGCAGCCTGGGCATCACCAGAGATCTTATAAAAATGCAGACTGTCAGGCTCCACATAGACCCACTGACTCTGAACCCGCATTTTAACGGTTTCCCACAAGGGTCGTGTGCCCGTTCACAATTTGAAAAACCCTGGAGTAGGCATTGTGGAGCTCTTGATTCCCTGTTTTTAAAACCTGTTATTACTCCCTTCTGAGAGTCATTGGCTCCACCATTCCAGGGACAGGAAAAAGAAAGGCACAAATTGGGTCACATCACTTACTTGCTCTTTTGCTCTGCATTAGATTTCTAGGGCCACCATAACAAATTCCCACAGACTCAGTGGCTTAAGACACCGGTCTTATATTCTGTAGGTTAAAAGTTTGGTGGGCTCCTCTGATTTCTCTGTTTCAAGACCAAACTCAAGGTGTCGGCGAGGTTGGGCTCTGGGGGAGAACCCACTGCCAGGCTCATTCTGGTTGTTGGTAGAATTCAGTTATGTGGTTGTAGAACTAAAGTCCTATTTCCTTGCTGACTGTTGGCCCAGGGTCAAGTTCCCGTCCTAGAAGCACCTGCATTTCCTGGTTCATGGCCCCCTCTGTCTTCAAAGTTAGCAACAGTGGGGCGAGTCCCTGTCACACTTTGCATCTTTCCTGCTTCGTCTTCCACTGCAACTCTCTGACTCTTTTGCCCTCCTTGTCTACTTTTTTTTTTTTTTTTTTTTTGAGACAGAGAGAAAGAGAGAGAGAGCACATGAGAGGGGGGAGGGTCAGAGGGAGAAGCAGACTCCTTGCTGAGCAGAGAGCCCGATGTGGGACTCGATCCCGGGACTCCAGGATCATGACCTGAGCCGAAGGCAGTCGCTCAACCAACTGAGCCACCCAGGCGCCCCCTCCTTGTCTACTTTTAAGGGCCTGTGTGATTGCATCGGTCCCCCTGGAAAACTTAAGTCTATCTACAAAGCCCCTTTGGCCATGTAACGTAACATACAGGCTCCTGGGATTAGGACGTAGAAATCTTTGCGGTGGGGGGGGTGGGGGAAGGGAGTATTCTGCGCCATCTCTGAAAAAAACCATAAGCTGCTCTCGTTACTGTAATGACCTTAACTTTGAAAATTTATATCTTTTAACAATAAGAATGGAATGAAATACAACTCTGCCCAGAAATCATTATTAGTTCTAGAAAAAATAATCCAAAAATAGGACCTTTTGTCACTCCTCAGTTCTTTAATGTGCTTTCTTTGTCTTCTTCGTATATGTCACCATATCCGTATCTATGTCTTGCCCTCTGGAAATGTGCTCCTTGAGGGGCAAGTGCTAGTCTCATTCCTCTTTGTGTTTCTGGCACCCAGCATGGTGCCTGGCACACAGTAGGTGCTTAATGAATGCAGAAAAAAATATATACACTCATGGTTACATCCTTGAAATATGGGGATAAGGAAAGTCGGCGGTATTTTCTTAAAGGGGCTTCCCTATTAATAATATCAACAAAAAGTTTAAAAATCCCTTGTGTTACTCATAAGAACATAGGGTAGAATGGGGGTTACCAAGAGCTGGGGGTTGGGGGAGTTGGGGAGATGTTTAAGGCTACAGGCCTGCAGCTAATAGATAAATAAGTTCTAGAGATCTAATGCACACCATAGTGAATATAGTCAACAGTACTCTATTATAAACTACAAAGTTGCTGAGAGAGTAGGTCTTAATTGTTCTCACCAAAAAAAAGAAATGAGAATTATGTGAAGGGAAACAGGTGGCAGCTCATGCTACCATGGTAATCGAACTGCAACAGAGAAATACATCAAACCAACACATCCTATGCTGTAAACTGAAACTGATACAATGTTATATGTCAATTACATCTCAATTTAAACTTGCCCAGAGTCATACTGCAAGACAGTGGCACAGCCAGGAGTAGAGCTAGGATCTGGACCCACATACTTTGTTGAGAAAGCCTGTGATATTCACACCGATACCTCCTGGCGTGCTCTGTTGCCTTTGAAACATCTCTCAGAGAAGCCAACCTTGTACCCAGCCTTGAAAAATGAATAGGGATTGGCCAGGTAGGTGTTGTAGGTGGGAGAAGGTGACCGTCTGGAAGGATGCTCCAAGTTGTAAAAGCAGCCTGAGCTAAAGACATGGGGCATAAACCCTCCTGTGGGAATGCAGGTTTGGGGGAGCAGGTCCCCGCCTTTTCTGTGGGCAGCGCTTGAATGGAAATCCAAGGGTCTGCACATGCAGCCTGGGAAGGGAGCTGCCTATTATAGGATCCGCCTGCACCCACACTGACCCCTGCTCTGCCCTAGACTGCCTGGAGCAGGAAGGGGGCCCCCAAATCCCGTCGGCAAGCAGCTTTGGTTGTCTTCCAGGTCAGCTTAAAAAATCAGTCCCATTCCACAGATACTCCCTGATTTCTCCAAAGCCGCCTTATGTGGATTTCTCCATGTTCTTCCTGTACTTAGTCATGCTTCTGGCACCATCTCTTAGAATAAGAAGTTGTTGAACACCCCTGTTATGAAGCTGCACTTTTTATTTGCTCAGAATTTACCCCTGGTAACCTTTCGGGACTGTCTTTTAGTTTCTTATCTTGCTGAGGTCCCTTTTTCTTATTTGTGGACTGCAGGCACAGCTCTCTGTCGCCTGTGAAGACCTTTTGTTAGTTTGCCTTTGAAAAGAAACATTTCCTTTGCTTTCCTCATTGTAATCGTCCTTCTTGGGGCTTATTGAAATCTGTAGCTTCGTAGAGGCAAGGTGGCAGGAACTGAAGCATTCCAGGTGATGATATCACACTGAGGTTTGGCGGAGGTTAGGATGATAGAGTCGGGGTTTGTCGTTTTTATTGCTGTTTTAGGGGAGGAGCAGATGCAACTGACTTGGGGGGACTTGTCTTGTGCCTGATGGCTTACAGTATCCTTCCTGATGAGGTGTGTCACCGTGTTAGTTTCTTCTTTGGTAAGATTCTACAGGCACTTAGAGCCACGAGCTTAGAGCCTATCACTTTATAAAGAACCATTTAATTTTTCCATGAAGATATTTGCCCCTGAGAATTCTCACGTACCAGGGTGCCTGGGTGGCTCAGTCGTTTAGCATCTGCCTTCGGGTCAGGTCATGATCCCAGGGTCCTGGGATCGAGCCCCACATCCGGCTCCCTGCTCAGCAGGAAGCCTGCTTCTCCCTCTCCCACTCCCCCTGCTTGTGTTCCCTCTCTCGCTGTCTCTCTGTCAAAAAATAAATAAAAATCTTTAAAAAAAAAAAAAAAGGAATGCTCACCTACCACTTTTCCACTCAGTCGAGGGGCATTCGGAAACCTCCCTCAATTTGGCATTAGGTCACCAACTAATTACCCGAAGGAATGATCATGCTCTGCAGATGGAGACATTTCTGTGCCCTCTTTCTTCCACAAGATTTATAAAAATATGAAATGCAGTTGGTCTCTGGGAACTCTCTCTCTCTCTCTCTCTTTTTTTTTTTTTAATTTCCTCATCCCCAGAAGGGCTCATTTAACCAAGCCATTTCCACATGTGTCCCTAAATATCCTTCAGATACTCTAGGGACTCTGTTTGTAAAAATAACCTTTGTTATTGGAAACATTAGAAATTTAAATAGTGCTTGCTAATTTCCCTCCTTTTACTTGTCCTTGCGCTCCCTTGTCTCGGAGATCTCTGACCGACCCGCACTATCTCAGTCACAGGTGGGGCTCACACCCGCTGCGGTGTGGAGCTCCTTGGAACTGTGGCTCATCTTGCGTTTGGCTGTTGTCAGTGGCACCTCGCCTGTAGACTTGCCTCTCCCTGTACCATTCCAGGGGGTGATGGCAAAAATGACTGCGCCTCCCAGGCAGTCTGTACTTTCAGAGCTTGTCATCCGACGACGCAGAACTCCAGCAACGCCTTCCCATTGCCACAGTCAGTCCGCTCTTTAATAGTAATTGCGCTGCTTATACTATTTGCACAGAGCAGATGGCCCAAGCCTCAAATGAATGTTTGATTTTGCAAGTCATTTTGTCATTTAAATGACGGGGACGTTTGAGTTGGGAAGGAATGGGAGGAGTAACCACTTGAGGGCAGCGGAAATAACAGAAATGCGGGGCCCCTGGGTGGCGCAGTGGGTTGAGTGTCCGACTCTTGGTTTCGGCTTGGATCCTGATCTCAGGGTCATGAGATTGAGCTCCACGCTCAGCATGAGGTCTGCTCCCTCTCCCCCTCCCACTCATGTGCTCTCTCCAAAGAAATAAATGAGTCTTTAAAAATAATAGAAATGCTAGTTCTGACCCCATTTCCCTTGCTCACTGCCCCCATCTTCCTAAAGCTGCCAGGGCAACAAGTGACTGCACCACCTGGAAGGCAATGTAGGTGCCTCAGTAAGGACCATCAAGAGCCCGAAGCTGAGCCGTCAGGGAACGACCAAGTGTGACTTCCCCAGGCCAGCTTTGGGGAGGCCTGGAAAGTTGGTTTTATAGAAGCCTTCTTTAATATTCCCTATAGATAACTTTTGGCCCTTTAGGATCTACACTACGTTAGCGTAATCAATCTGCTAAAAGGCACTTTGAGGAAAATTACAATAAGAATGCCAAAAGAAATTTTGTACTGCACTGAGTTGATCTGTCCACAGACATAACCGAGCCTTTTTACTTTGGGGGTTGATTTGTCTGCCTTTTGGATTTATTTGGTTTCTTTCAAGGTAGTCCCTCCCAGTATATCTGAAACTTTGGTGATACAGGATGTTTGACTCTGAGCTCAAAATCTCTAAAAGTTATTGGTTAAAAAAAGAAGTTTCCCCCTCCCCTCCCCCCCCACACACCCCATTTCAGTCCCTTTTCTGCAACTAAACATCTGTCTTCTTGTTTGTTCCTAGGATGGTCCAGATTCTGCCAGAGGAAACCGGACAAAGCAGGAGAGTGCGTGGCTGTTCAGGCTGTGGTACAGCTTTGACCACAAGTATCCTTTTCAGTGGCTTCCCTGTATTTGTGAAACATTGATGATGAAATTCTCTTACTGTCAGTGAACGACTTCTGATGAGTAAGGAAGATGTGTGCTTGGTACAGGTATAGTCAGTCCTCTCTTGGGCCACATGCAATGATCATTCATGACCTGAACCAAAATCAAGAGTTGGACGCTTAACTGACTGAGCCACCCAGACTCCCCCAGAAAAAGCATTTGACAAAATCCAACATCCTTTCATGATAAAAAGAAAACCTCTCAACAAATTAGGTATAAATGGAATGTATGTCAACATTATAAAGGCCATATATGACAAGCCCACAGCCAACATCATACTCAATGACAAAAAGCTGAAAGCTTTCCTCTAAGATCTGGAAGGATGCCCACTCTTGCCACTTCTTTTCAATACAGTATTGGAAGTCCTAGCCAGAGCAGGTAGGCAAGAAAAAGAAATTTGATTCTCCAGATCAGAAGGGAAGAATTAAGGGCGCCTGGGTGGCTCAGTTGGTTAAGCGACTGCCTTCGGCTCAGGTCATGATCCTGGAGTCCCTGGATCGAGTCCCGCATCGGGCTCCCTGCTCGGCAGGGAGCCTGCTTCTCCCTCTGACCCTCCCCCCTCTCATGTGCTCTCTCTCTCTCATTCTCTCTGTCTCAAATAAATAAATAAAATCTTAAAAAAAAAAAAAAAGGGAAGAATTAAAATGGTCTCTGCAGATTAAATTTAAATTAAAATAGTCTCTGCAGATGTCATGATCTTTTTTTAAAGGTTTATTTATTAGAGAGAGAGTGAGCACAGGGAGGGTAGAGGGGCAGAGGGAGAGGAGAGAGAGAATCTCAAGTGGACTCCCCGCTGAGCATGGAGCCTGATGGGGGGCTTGATCTCAGGACCCATGAGATCATGACCTGCGCTAAAACCAAGAGTCAGATGCTTAACCAACTGAGCCATCCAGGTGCCCCTGCAGATGACATGATCTTATATATAGAAATCCCTAAAGACTCTACCAAAAAACTGTTTTAAAACTAATAAATTCAGTAAAGTCAGAGGATATAAAGTCAACATACAAAAACCAGTTGCATTTCTATGCACTAACAATGAACTATCCAAAAAAGATATTAAGAAAACAATCCCAGGGTGCCTGGGTGGCTCAGTTGGTTAAGTGTCTGCCTTCAGCTTGGGTCATGATCTCAGGGTCCTGGGACTGAGTCCCGCGTCAGGCTCCCTGCTCAGCGGGGAGTCTGCTTCTCCCTCTCCCTCTGCCTCCTTCCCTCTGCTCATGCTCTGTCTCTCAAATAAATACATAAAATCTTTTAAAAAAAAGAAAAGAAAACAATCCCATTATGATACCATCAAAAATGATAAAATACTTAGGAATAAATTTAACCAAGTAGGTTAAGATCTGTACACTGAAAACAAACACTGATGAAAGAAGTTGAAGAAGACACAAATAAATGGAAAGATATTTGTGTTCATAGATTGGAAGAATTAATGTTAAAATTGCCATATTACTCAAAGCAATCTATAGATTCAGTTCATCTCTATCAAAATTCTAATGGTGTTTTTTAAAATAAAAACAATCATAAAATTTGTATGGAGCACAAATTACCCTGAATAGCTAAAGCATTGTGAGCAAAAAGAACAGAGCTGGAGGCATCATACTTGCTGATTTCAAATTATATTACAAAGGCATAGTAATCAAAATAGTATAGTATTAGCATTAAAACAGATACACAGACCAGTGGAACAGAATACAGAGCCCAAAAATAATACCCTCACATGTTCGATCACCTAATCTTCAGCCAAGGTGCTGAGAATACATAATAGGGAAAGGACAGTCTCTTTAATAAATGGTGTTGGGAAAACTGGATATCCACATGCAAAAGAATGAAACTGGAACCCGTCTTACACCACTCACAAAAATCAACTCAAAATGGATTAGAGACTTAGATGCAAGACCTGAAACCATAAAACTCCTAGAAGAAAACATAGGGGAAAACTCCTGACATTGGTCTTGGCAATGAGTTTTTGGATTTAACACCACAAGCAAAGGAAACCATCAACAACATGTAAAGACAACAACCTGTGGGATGGGAGAAAATATTTGCAAATCCTATATTTGATAAGGGGTTAATATCCAAATTATATAAGGAACTCCTACAACTCAACAGCAGAAACCCAAAGACCCCAATGAAAAAATGGGCAAAGGACCTGAATAGACATTTTTCCAAAGAAGACATACACTTGGCTGGCAGATTCACGGAAAGTTGTTCAGCATCACTAATCGTCAGGGAAATGCAAATCAAAACCATAATGAGATCTCACCTCACATCTGTTAGGATGGATGTTACCAAATGTCAAAAGATAACAAGTGTTGGGAGGATGTGGAGAAAAGGAAACACTCATATGCTGTTGGGTGGGATGTAAATTGGTGCAGCCACTGTGGAAGACAGTATGGAGGTTCTTCAAAAAATTAAAAATAGAACTACCATATGATCCAGCAGTCCCACCTCTGGGTATATATCCAAAGGAGATAACATCACTATCTCAAAGAAATATCTGCACTCCCACGTTCATAGCAGCATTATTCTCAGTAACGAAGATATGGAAATAACCTAAGTGTCCATCAGTGCATGAATGGATAAAGATGTGTGCGAGTGTGCGTGTAGATAGTGGAATATTATTCAGCCTTAAAAATGAAGGAAATTCAGCCATTTGGGACAATGTGGTTGAACCTGGAGGACATTATGCTATGAAATAAGCCAGGCACAGAAAGAAAAAATACTGCATGATCTTCCTTATGGGTGGAATCTAGAAAAGTCAAACTCATAGTAACAGAGCATAGAATGGTGGTTGCCAGGGGCTGGGGAGTGGAGGAAATGGAGAGATATTGGTCAAAGGGTATAAACTTTCAGTTATAAGATGAATAAGTTCTGGAAACCTAATGTACAATATGGTGACTATAGTTAATGATCTGTATTGTATACTAGAAATTTTCTAAGGGGGTAGATCTTAAGTCTTTGCATCACACACACAGAAAAATGGTAACTGTGTGAAATGATGGATATGTTAATTAGCTTGATTGTGGTAATCATTTCACAATATACACGTATCTAAACATCTCCTACACCTTTAATACATGCAGTTTTTTGTCAGCCATACTTCAATGAAGCTGAGTGGGGAAGAAATTATTCCTCCAAGAGCAACAGGAGTGATCTCTGAAGTCTCTGAATATAAATTTTAGTGACAAGGATTTCTACTTGTTTAGTTTGGAGGAGAGAAACTAAGAACAGAAAAGCAGGCATAAAGTGTCTGAAGAATTAGATGAGGAAGGTGCCCATAGCTCATTCTATAGCTCCATAGATGATCAAACAAGAAAATGTGGGCTTTGGCTGCATCAAAAGAGAGTTTGGCTGGATGGGAATGATCCCCACAAGCCAGGACGAGCAAGTGTGGTACCTCCTTCACTGAACAAGCCTGAAAATGGAAAAAATGGGCTTCCAATTTAAGATAAGAGGCTCAGCACACACACATAGCTCTCTTGTTGTTCCCGGGCCTCCTTGGAATCACAAAAGAGATATTTTGGAGTACTCGCAAGACCAAAGATAGAGGGAATTGTAGCAGAGAAAACCATAGCCCAAGACCAAAGAGAGTCTTGAGCCAGTTCGTCTAGGTGATTTATTAAAGAATGTTGTTAGTAACAGTTGCAACAGGCACCCCCTGTGTCCACAGATCAACTGGTAGCTGTTAATTTTCTCTTCAGGCCATAGCTCTCTAAAGAAAGTAGACATACTACCTGGGGAGGGCTTGATAGAGAAACAGATCTTGAGGCCACCAAAGAATTTTCTCCCTAGAGTAACCTCCCCCCCAACCCACCCGACTTTGGCGTGGTCAGATTCCCCACCTGCTTGATGAACTGAGAAACTGAATGAAGACATGGGGGGCATGCCAAAGTAATTCACTCCTATATATGTACCTGCATGTCCTATATATGTATATGTACATATATCCATATATATATATATTTACATTTACTCCAA